GCGAGAGAGCGAGAGAGCGAGAGAGAGAGAGAGAGAGAGAGAGACTGGTGTTAACTTGGTATTCCATCACTTTCACCTCACTGGAACTGAAGGTTGAGGCTGACAAAAGAGTTTATACTGTTTTAATGCTGTGTTTTCATATTGTCTCTTGTGACTGGCATTTTATAATTGTTCAACCACATGCAGCTCACATTTTAACTTAAAGAGGCTTCTGTGGGAGTTTTCTTTTGTTCTCATTAAGGGATCTAAGGCTCAAAGATGTAATTTTCATAAGACCTTTCACTTGTACAGTAGCTATACTGCAGATTCCTTCACAATGTAATTGAGATTCTACAAAGAAACTTGACTGAGATCTGTTCACTCAAGAAAAAACAAACAAACAGTAAATTAAATTAAAACCGGAAAGACAACAATATGTTGTTTACTTCAAATCGGCTGGCGGGGTGCAGTGGGACCGCTGTGGGACTGTCCTCCTCTGTAATGCCGTCACTGGTGTCGCTGTGCGTTGCCTCATCGTGGCTGAAGCTGCGGCCAATCATCCGACGCTCTTCAAAATCTGCCGCGCTGCTTTCGCTTGTGTCGCTGCACACGCTATTCTCTCGGCTGCGTGACTTCAGGATTGACTTCCTGGGAATGGGTTCCCCGTTCTTCACGTCCACAAACAACCTTACAAAAACAACAGAACTCATGACTGTTTTTTGTTTTTTTTGGGGGGGAGGGATTGTGATTTTCCCTAATTTAGTCTTTACGGCATTCATAACTTGGATAATTCAATAAATTTGGTTCGAGATATCTGCTTTTACCTATAAATGTCTGCTGGTGTTGTGATTTTGTGAAGTTCGTGATGGGAGTGTCCGTTATTATGACCGTTCTTCTTTTTCCTCTTTGAGTGTTCCTTCTGCTCTTTTCTTTCACTGAACTTCAACGTGGTGTTTTTTCCTGTGTTTATCCTCACCTGAAGCAAAGGACAGAAACAGGGTAATGAGAAAGTTGCCAAGACACTGCAGAATTAAAAGAAAGGAGAAGATACTTTTCAACAAATCTATAAAATGTTAATTATCCCTCTGACCTTCTTGGGTTCGACTGTGTGAGAGAAAAAGATGGTAGGCAAACAGCTGCCTTCCTCTTCCTCGTCGTATTCTTCCTCTTTCCTGTCTACACTGGATGGCACTTTACTGTGAGGCAAGGAGGTCCAGCTGGGCTTCAGACTCAGTCCGTTTACCGGAGGTGCAGCGTCTCCCTCCTTCTCCTCTTCTGAGGAAAAGGATGACGTGTCCTCACCGTTCATGTCTGCATTGTCAGATAATCTGGAGACAAACGTTTTATTTTAGGTTACAAAGTGTGCTATTATTAAAGCTGATAAGAAAACACCTCGAGCGTGTTAATCTACCTGTCCTGCTCATCTTGTAGCTCCTCGAGTTTCTCAAGTTCATCCAATCGAGCCCACAACTCCTCCTCAGTCACGACGCCTTTTGTGCTCCCTCCATCTCTGCCCTCTCCTTCGTCCTCCTCATCCTCCTCTTTCAGATCCAACACGGCATCCAACTTGGGTTTAGAATTTGGTTTGTGAGCTATTCTTGGCTTTCCTGTTAAAGCAGACAAGATGGGAAAGAAATTATCCTAAATGTCACTTTGAGTTTGGCGTAGAATTAAAGAATAGGTTAAAGGCTTTCTTTGCTTTCTCATAAGCCAAGATGTACAAGTAAAATGAGGGCAGAAGAAAGGCTGAAAAAGATACCTTTGGCGACAGTAGTGTCATTGTTTTCGGCTTCTTCTCGAATGTCAACATAGTCCCCTTTAGCCTAAAGAAGAAACAAAGTCAATACATTTGTCCCCATTCTTGTCTTGTGCAATATCTCATCTGTGAGGATGACTTATTGTGATGCAACGTACGGTTGACATGGTTTCCAAATTCTTCACAAACCCAACTCTGTCTTCAAAGTTTTTCATAGTCTTGGAGAGATCATCTAGTTCGCTCTTCACATCTGCAGAAAACAGCCGCATTATCATCAAAATGTGCATCAGAGGGTTGGAGGCAGACTGACAAAACCCCAGTGTGCAAAAACTGGCTGCAGGCTAACAGAGATTTAAACAGAACGCTGAATATAACAATGACAACAGGCTGCTTAAGAGTTAAAAAACTGAACAAGTTGGGGGGAAAAAATTGAAAAATGATGACACAAACAGTTCATAATATCTTCTGCCCTGAATACTACTCCGGATCATTAAATCTTGACAACAATTAAGCCCTTTTACTAATAGCAGCAGAGGGCCCTTGTTTCCATGGCGATCGGGAGCCCCTCCAGTCAGTGCATCAACTGGAAGTGAAGAAAGGTCAAACACAGAAGGCCTGACAACTCAGCCGCTGTCTGACACATTTCAGCTAGCTATGTTTGTATTACAGCACTTAGCTCTGTAATAGCGGGGTGGGCAGGGTCAGGAGATAGGAGGAGGAAGAGCGAGGGGGGGGCAGACGGCTGCGGATGGGCTGTGGCAGCACATTTCTGCTTCACTAAACACTCTAATAATGTTCACATCAGAGATCGTTACTTGGGCCCATTTGACTCGATATGAGATTTTCAGACCTAGAATGAGCAGCAGGGCACACACAGTTTGTAAGTCTACACATAACCCATGTTAGAATAAACACATTTGGTTTTCTTCATGCACTCGATCAAACAATAATGTTGCGTTTACAGGACTTGATTTGACCACAGGAGAGGAAAAGCTATAAATTGCTGTCACAACAGGCAGTGACAACAGTGACGTGTAACATCTGAATCCAGGAGCGGCACAGCAAATGAGTGCTGCAAATGTGCCTTGCAGCTTGCAACCATTTAACCACATGTGAAATAAAGTACAGCATGTGTCAAAAAATCATGCATGCGCCAACAGCTTAATACAGTTATTAGAAAAAGCATCACAGCTGACATCCCATATTCCTAAAATAGACTAAATTCTACAATTCTACAATGTCAGAAGTTTCTCCTAAAATCTTAAAATGACAATTCATCTAAAAGGAAGTTAGTCACTTCAATGATTCTTCAGTGTTCAGACAAGCTGAAGCTTGATGCAGCAACACCCTCTGCTGGATGAAGAGGAGCAGTGCTGAATAATCATATTAAAATGACAAAATGCTGTCTTTTTGAGAGAGGACAGGAAACAGACTCACATTTCATCCTGTGGTTGACAAGCTTCTGAGCCTGCTTGGCAGAGCACTTAGCGAACCAATTGTCACCGAGCAACGCTGTGACCTCGTTGGTGTGCACCAGCTTCCCTGGCATGAAGGCCAAAGGGCCGAACGGCACCTGGTTATAGTGGAAGGAAAAAAAGAGCAGAACCAAAGAGAAATGGTTGAAATAAAGCAGGTGGCAGAAAGTTGACATGAAAGCAGGAGAAAGAAGAAATAAAACTTTCAGTGGCAGTAGAAAAAAAAAAGGTATATATTTAGGGTTAGCATCTGTTAAAGTTGAGAATATCAAAAAAGGCGATGATGAATTTACCATTTGCAATGGGAATTGAGCTTAAAATTAACCCACAATGCACAGGTTTGTGACGGTGTGTATGTTTGGTATTTTAAACAAGGTTTGCACGTACCATAATGTCATAACACAGTTGGTCTGGAAGAGTTTGAAGGCGCTCATTCAGGGCTTCATAGTCACCTGACACCTTCTTCCTGCAAATGCATGGATTTACAAATATTAGGCCAACAAATACATTGTTCACTTAAGCCAAAGCTCTCTTCTGAAGCCATTGTCGTCCAAATTGGTTTGTTTGGCTTATTTTGGGATGTTAAACAGAACAATGGGAAGCAAATGACAGCTATGGAGTAATGAGGAAATGCCTGTTCCTGTCCCTTTCAGGAGAGAATGGAGACTTTGTGTAACCCAAGAGGCCTCAACATCTCGCCGTTATTCATTTGTATCCATTTCTCACTGGACAATTTTTTATTGCTTTGAGATTTCCTACTTTCATCAGAGAAACTGACAACACCAGGCTGTATAGTTTGTAAAAACATATCTAGGAAGGTCTGCCAATGCAAGTTGTAAAATAAAGCATTGTGCCAAAAGCCCTTATTATTAGCTTTATCTCATATCGTTTCCTCACTGGTTGCTCTGTTGTGATCTGCTGGAATAGTCTAGTCGCATCAAACAACTGAAGGACCGAAGAGTAGGATTGAGTGGCATCTAGTGGTGTATCTGTAGATTGCAACTCATTTGCTTCACCCTCAACAGCAATCTAGGGTGGCTGCGAAAGGTCTGGCCCAGTCATAAGCTAGTGTTTGGTTTGTCTGTTCTGGGTTACTGTAAAATAACGGCGGTTCAACGTGGCGGCCTCCATCATAGGCGACAAGGTAACAAAAACAATTCTCAGGTGATTATACACCAATGAAAACATACTTATGAATATTATATTCCATTTCTGCCAATAGATCCTCCTAAATATTACACACTAGACCTTTAATAAGACTTAAAGTTGCTGTATATACTTTACATAAACATACAGCAAAGAGCAAAAATGTCTCAAATTAGTATAATGAAAAATACATTTTTATTTGTTTTTACCTAGTGTACTCTACCTGGAATTACAGACCACTGTACAACAAGTGTAGAGTTCAGATACAGAAGAGGTGAATGCTGGACATTTGGACCCACATTACAATAACCTGACTAGAACCATTTCAGTTTTTAGTTGCCCTTTTTTGAAGTACCCACTCAATTTACTTTGCATTAAAAGGCCTTGCACGGCCTCGCAGGTGTTGTGAGTTATTTTTCTTAAATCCTCTGTTTAGATTGAAGGGGGGCCGAACTGTGTTGGGAATTACGTGAGGTCACTGGACTCAATGTAGCAGTAAGAAGCACAAAGGTGTGATTTGTCCTGTACTAACAGGCCCAACAAAACCAACAGCAGAGTCAGAGAGACGTCAAGCACAGTCTGCACTTGCTCACAGTCCTGAGAAGAGCTCTAATCAGGCAATAAGTGAAATCACCTGCGTGGGTGTACTATGGTTGGGTAAGGCCTCACAAGATTTACCATACGGTTGCTCATTGTGATTAGAATGTAACTTGCGACTGTTTGTGACTCAATATTGATTTTTCACTTATCTCTAAAAAAGTGTTTATTTGCCTTAAACTGACACTTAATATTTAATATAAATGACTTTAATCAAATCTGCTGCTGTACTACTATTACTGTATTTGTAATCAACACTACTAAGAATACTGATGGTAACCCACTGCTTGCAATCAATGAAAATGAATTTACTGTAAAGGCTACGCCGCCATGCTGCACTCACACAGGTGTTTCCACTTTATCTACCTGATTAGTAATCTTGTCAGGACTGTGTGTGTGTGTGTGTGTGTGTGCTTTGTGTGTGTGTGTGTGTGTGTGTGTGTGTGTGTGTGTGTGTGTGTCTGTACACAATATGCTTGATTGACATCTCCTTCAATCACCTGTTAGCTTTGTTGCATCTGCTTGGCTGGGACAACTAACCCTTTCATCATCATTCAAAAAGCCCTTTTTCAAGGAAGAAATTGAAACATGTCACAGTAGGTAAAGCACA